ATACCATCAATAATGAAGTTTGATAGATTTACTAATTTAGTTCCAAAGCTAATCTGGCTATATCCCAATTCCTCCAGTTATAAAAAAATGGTGAGTAATAGCAAATAGCTTAATAATTTTTGTTCTATGTATGGCAAGTATTCAGTAAATATCTATTTAATGAATGAACAGCAATCTAAGGTGGGACAACAGTAGATGAGATGAACAAAGTAGTATCTATGAAGAGGACCAACTATGACACAGTGACTTTCTAGAACTATCTCCTAAAAAGCAAAAGGAATGGGCAGACCACATTCTATGGCTTTTCTCTTTAGAAAATAAGTTGTATTTGGAGATGATGTATATACTGACTTAAGAAGATCTTAACTGAAGACTTCAAGGTTAAATATACAAAAAAGAAGTCCTAAAAGGAAATTTGAACTCACTCTACATAGGTTATGTATCCCAGTTTAAAGACTAAATACTTGATATCCTAACAGAGAAGAATAAATAGCAAATTAATTATCTAGGGTTCTATTTATACTTCTACTATCAAAGCTAATCATTTTATTTTAAAATTGGTAAACATTCATCCAAGTTTAGCATTCAAGAGTATGTGGTATGTTTGATATTCTACTGCTATCGTATATAGTATAACAATCAGATGTAATTCGATTCCCTTGGACTTCAGTCCACACTTTCTGACAGTTACAACTCTATTTGATGGATAGGCTCTTATTTTGGACAAGAAACAATTATTCCTCATAAATAAGAGTCATTTTCACCACGTTTCTAAGATCCTTTCTATCTTACAAAAGCATCCATGACTCTGCCCTCCCAACACATTCACATTCATTCATTCATAGTATGTTTCACTCTCTCTTTCTCCCTCTCTCTCACACACACACAGGCACACACAGCAGCCCTACACCACCAGCTCAGCAGTCACTACCGATATTATTTCTCCTTTCATGTTCCACTGTGTCTATTACGTTATTATTTCAGTATAATCTTAAAAAAGATTACCACAACAGATAAGGCACTGGTATGATGGCTTAGTTTTGGTAGAAAAGTCAGTCCTGAACGAACTTGGTAGTCCCGGAATCCTCCAGCTACAGAAAGTGTGGTTAAATTTATGTGTCGAGCATTTAGAATCCAATAGTTGTTTACAGTCATATAGAAATCTGGTAGGGAATAAAAAAGAGATGTTAAAAAGGAGTACTCACTCCCTGCAACAATAAGATATCTGTACAGTAATACTAACATTTTAACTAAATTTTTGCTTAAGCCATCTGCTCTACAAACTATGTATTATTCATATTTCCCTATTTTGAGTAAAATCAGTATCTTTACACATTCCTGTTTCCCCGTTAAAGTACAAATATTAAGAGCTACCATAGGCATCTATAAAGAAAAAAGATATCCAAATTTTACTAGCTTTGACAAGTTCACATGCAAACATATCTCTACATTCCACAAGTATGATGCTTGCTCATGAGCCACACAGTACAGCAAGGAGAGAAAACTCTAAAGGTCTTCTAAAGAGAAGAATTTACTATGCCAAAGCATTGTAGACATTTGTGGTATTGGTTTCACAGTGTATTGTGTATGTTTGAACCCGTCAAATTGTATACATTAAATATGTGAAGTTTTTTGTGTATCAATTATCCTCAAAAAGTGGTTTTT